GTGTGTGTGTGTGTGTGTTCTATCTCTTCAATGCCACTGATTCTTTCCTCAGTGGTTTTAAGTACGCTGATGAGCCCTTTGAAGACATTCTTCATTTATTGTATGTGTTTTTTTTATTAATAGCATTTAAATTGTATTATAGTTTCCATCTCTCTGCTAAAATAACCTATCTGATCTTGCATGTTGTTTACCTTTTCCATTACAATTATTTTATATGGCATTTGGCATTCTCTGTCTCAGTTAAGCAACTGCTTAGGTTCTTATTTCTCCCTGCAGTCACCAAGCTTTCCAGACGTGGGGCTCGTTTTTTGGGCTAGTTTTTTGCCCTGCAATGTCAGATAGCTTACATATTCAGGAAAGTCTTCCCAGCTGTTTTCTTGTTTTAAGAATAGGAGCAATGCTTTTTCCTGCTTGCTAATGATCTGAACTGTAACTGAAAATTGCCAGTTGATTTTTGACATATGTTCCAGGGTAATTTGATGGGGAAAAGATGACTTTTTTTCAAAAATGGTGAGAAAATAACTAGATATGTATGTTTTTTAATACACCTTTATTTTCATACGTAATTAAAGATTTATTAAAAATAAATCATAAACCTAAGCAAAATAGCAAAGTACAAAATTTCTGTTAGGAAACAAACTAGTTGTACTGTGAAGCACACAGAGATTTTTGAGATGTATTACAAAAAAGTGTGAGACATAAAATCAAAAAAAGATAAATTTGAGTTTATTAAAATTTAAAGTGTCTGCTTTTCAAGACTTTATTATGAAAACAAAGAAGAAAAACACACATTGGGAGAAAATGTCTTTAATAGATGTATCTGTCAAAAGACTTGCATCCATGATATGGAAAGAATGTTCATAATGCAATAAGAATACAAACAATACAGTTAAAATTAGAAAAAAAAAAGGAAAAGATTAAAACAGGCATTTCACAAAAGAAGATATATGGATAGCCAGTAAGTACTAGTAAACATGTCCAAAGATTTAGTCATTGGGGAAGTGCAAATTAAAACTCTAATGTGGGATCATTACAAGTCCATTTGATGGTTTCTTGTACTTTTACTTTACCTAAAACCAACAATTTCAGTTCTAGGTATTTATCCCCAGGAAAATGTAAAGAATTGTACAAAAACAAAAATCAAAAATAAATGAAAGTTTTAAAAGAGAATTGTATAAAAATGTTCATAGAATCTTTATTCATAATAGCCCCAAGTTAGAAAGAACCAAAATGTCCATCAACAGATAAATGTATAAAGAATAATGTTGCCTGACAATGGAATATCACTCAGTAATGAAAAGGAAGGAACTACTGATGCATGGAATAACATTAATTATAAGATTAGGCGAGGCAAAAGAAGCCAGGCACAAGAAAGTAGAGCTGTATGACTCTAACGTTTTAGTGTTCTATGTAGATTGTGGTGTTTACAAAAATGTGTAAATTTTCAAAACTCATCAAAATGTACCAAAAATGCATATATTTATATAAATAACCCTTCGATAAAATTGATTTTAATAATTATAAAAGTGAACTTTGGATCCCCGGTATATTATGAGACCCACATTCTGAATTTGCCAAGTGGTTCATTGGCTTTACCACTTGGGTATTTATTTCTTTCCCTCTCCCGTATGGCGGTGTGACCTTGGGCAAGTCAATTCTCCTTTATGTCCCACAGTTTCGTCATTTGTGAGAGATGCACAATGTTGATAGTTACCTACAATTCTTTTTGGAGGCATTTTCTGAGTTAATCTATGTCTGTCACTTAAAACAATGCCTGGTGTGGAGTCAATGAGCAGTAAGAAATAACTAACCATTATCAATTTCACTACTGTTAAAAATCAGAAAAAAAGATGTGTTCCTTAAAAGAGCATGAAGCAAGATTATAGCTGATACTAAAACAACATAATAATGTAGGCCTAGAGGAGATTCAGCCTTGATGTGATGGGTAGGTGGGAGTTCCCCACACTCTGGGGGCTTTTAACTTTTCTCTTTATCTGATGATACCATTTCTGAAACTTCGAAAGCTTCAGGCGTGTGAACTGGTTGACATGCCTCAGTCCAATTCCCAGCAAATTGTTTTTCCACAAAGGCAGGAAAAGCACCCGCCATGACTCTCCCTCCCCTTCCTCCCCCTAGAGCTTCTCTTTGAGAGAAGCTTTTTGAAGTCTGAACTAAGCTGGAGTATTGTCACTTGAGTTCTCTGTTGTAGGTTCTTCCATCCTGGGTAGAAGTTACACAGCAGTTACATAAATATGCTAGACAGAAGCCACACTTCAAGGTAGTACACACACACACACACACACACACACACACACACACATCCTTTAATGGCCACTGTTTCTCTTATTTCTGTTTCCCTGCTATACTGGAGGTGATTTCAGATGTGACCCATGATGTCTGCAACCTCGCTCAGCCAGTGACCCCACAAAATCGCACACCATAGCCTGTGGCCCCCTCCTGACCAGAAGGCCCAAGTAGCAGCCCTTCCCAGCTGTGGAGCACAGTCCCAACCCCACCTACCTGCAGGGTACAGTTGAAAGCCTCGCCAGATGAAGGAGCCCAACCAGCAGCTTGTCAACAGTGGCACACAGCCTGCAGCATCCATTCACAGATTCCAGCCTGAGCCACTATGGAGGATAGTTGGAGGTTCCTTGAAAAACTAAAAATAGACTTACCATATGATCCAGCAATCCCACTCCTCGCCATGTATCTGGAAAATCCTCTAATTGAAAAAGTCACATACTCTCCAATGTTCATAGCAGTACTATTGACAATATCCAAGACAGAAAAACAACCCATATATCCATAGATGAATGGATAAAGAAGATATGGTATATATAGCTCAGAGAACTATATTCAATCTCTTATAACCTATAATGAGAGAGAATGAAATATATGTATATAATGGAATATTACTCAGCCATGAAAAAGAATTAAATAATGCCATTTGTAGCAACATGAATGGA